TCTCTACTTCTTCACCGACTCAGCCTTAAATTCTAAGGGATGCTTCTCATTAATTATCCTGGCACGTCTCTGCCGGGGCTCCCTTTTCAATAGCTGCCAGATTTCTGTATATCACCCTGGCTTGATGCTGAATGTGCACTGACAATCGGGATCACAGAAAATCCTGTAAGCAGTGTCTGATACATAGAAGTTGATTAATGAGCCTTATACTGAGCCTGCTAGGCTGTACACTGCAAAGGATTTTTAAAGAGAACTATGCTATTAAGAAATGTGTATGCTGAAAGGAGATTCACCCCCCTCCTTAGCAAAAACTGGTACTTTTTGATGTGGGGGGGGAGAAAAGAGTCCTTCTTAAAGTGTTCCGATTTAACCAGTAATAATATGGAGTTATGATCAGAAGCAGGAGCCTGAAAGAGATGAACAACGCCTCTATTTTAACCAAAGCATCAGGAACTTAAGGAGGTTACCCAGAAAGAGTCACTTCCATTTCAACACACATTTCTGCAGAGCTTGCCAGGCCAAGACCAGCCATAGATCATTAGTCTTAGCTGAAATATAGATAGCCCTTTAGAAGTAATGAGCAGGACCTGGCCTTATGGCCTGACTTCTGTGTTGCTCAAGATTTTTAAGAACAAATAATAAAATCTCTCATGAAAACACCAAGCAGGAGATGCTTGTTTAACTCTCACTCTGAACTCGAGATGGGGAGAAAAGGTCACGATGGAAAAGCTGTCCTCTGTAGCTCTGGACAGCCTGGAACTCCCTCTGTAGATTTGGCTGGCCTCAAAAAAAAAAAAAGAGAGATCCACTTGCCCAGCAAGTGATGGAATTAAAGGCTTATGCCCCAGTGAACAGATATCTAGCTTCATTTTTGTGTATTGGTAAAGTAGTGTGTCCAGTGACTACTGCATAGCGGCAAAGTAGTAGGTTTTGCTGAAATTAAGTTCATTGATTGAACTCCCAGCTTTTCTTAAACCCAGCTATACTTCTCATGAGATTATAGTATTTCAAAGGCAAAAACTAAGCTAATAAAAGTGGACTTTCACATTCTTCCCCCCTACCCTCTTCCTTCTCCTCCTCCTCCCCTTCCTCCTGGAGCCCCTCTTTCCTCTGGGGGCTTCAGAACTCCCCCTGGGCTCCTGTTTCCAGAAAGACCTCCCACAGAGCCAGTATCTGCTTGCTCTGCTGGCTACACAAGATGTCTAAAGGGGGTTCATTATTCAGAATAGGAAATAATATTGAAACTGAGACTACATGTTTCCATCATGGAATACACTGTCAATTCTCTACTACCTTCATAATTACAGATATTAAAGAAAAATTAAAATGGATGTTGAGAGAAAGTGAGCAAAATGGTAAACAGAATGGAAAACTAAAACTTTGAAAAACTGAGAGAAGGAAATTTATAACACAAGGAAATTTTCGCTGTTTCCCTACTACTTGGAATTCTAGTAGGGTGCATTCTTTATTACCAACATATATTTTGTTTTATTTTCTTAACAGCCTCCTTCCTGAAAAAAAAATAGTCAGATTTTTTTCCACACAAATTTAGCAAAGGGGAAAGTGCAGTTTAAAAGAACAAGCACATAAACCATATAACCATGTGTTACTTTTAGTTATTTACATTATTATTTTATTTATGTATGTATTTGTTTATTGTGGTTTTTCAAGACAGGGTTTCTTTGTGTAGCCCTGGCTGTACTGGAACTCACTCTGTAGACCAAGCTGGCCTTAACCTCAAAGATTCACCTGGTTCTGCCTCCTTAGTGCTGGGATTAAAGGCTTGCACCACTGCAGCCTGGCTATTTACATCCTCAAAGAATCCATGGAGTGCTTAAAGTGCTAGCATATGGGCCATCCAGCTGACTGCATAGAGAAAATTTTTTCAAAGAAGCCAGGACAACAGGAGGATGTAAAACCACCCTCTTCCTCAACATTTTTTGCTTATTTATAGAAAAATAAGCATTAGAAGGTATGCTAGAAATAAGAACAGTAAGTCTGGGGCTGGTGAGATGGCTCAGCAGTTAAAAGTACACACTGTCCTCCTTGCAGAATTTGGGTCAAAGCACCTATGTCAGGCAGCTCACGGTTGCCTCCATCTCTAGGGAAATCTGATGCCTTCACAGACACCCCATGTGTGCACATACCAACATACAGACAGACACATAAACATAACTTAAAATAGTAATAATAAACCTTATTAAATTATAGCAATATTGATTTTGAATGTTTGATGCTGTTTTGTAGATATGTTCAATGCCTGCCCAACACCCTAAGGGAGACAGGTCCATTTAACTGTCTTAAAATGAGTATCTTCAGATCTGCTATCAGGAAGTGGAGGTCAGAAGGGATCAGAGATTGACCCTCTCCTGTTTCTGCATTTTGCTGTTGTTTTGAATTTCTTTCATCTTAAAATACTGAGTATGCCTAGGTACCACATTTGGGAATGTCATGTTTTGATTCACAACAGAAACAAGTAATAAAAAGGCAAAGGAACTGAGCTATGTCCAGAAACCTGGGCTAAGTGGGACTTTTTTCAAATGGCCTTTAATACTAACCTCAGAGACAAAGATCCAACTTGTCTGAGGTAATCTAGTATATCTTGATCTTGCAGCATCAAACAAACTGGTCTATAACATAAACCAGTCATAAATGTCAACATATGCAGATGTGAATCTTAAAGAAAACCGTCAGCCAATGGAATTTCTCCACTAGAGACAAGTGTACAGAATAAGAAGTCAGCCAATGGAGACCATTTAGGAGGTCTTTCTGCCCATTTGTCCATAATTGCCCTATATCCAGGGGAGGATAGACTAGGTAAAAGACCTGCAAAGCCTCATCTTCCCCTGGCAGGGCAGGAAAGACAACAGTTCGGTGGCTAAAATGTCAGAGGCCACTGAATTAAACAAGCCAAAATGGGAAAGAATAAAATGGAAGAACTTAAATGTTAACCATCTGTAAATAGCATAATACATACCCTTAAAACAAGATAAAAGTTATTGAGGTATTAGGAGCAAGAAATAAAAACTAAGATGTTGATTTCGACTTCAAAAAAAGGTACAGATGCAAAACCACACTCACACACACAAACTCTTCAGAATCTTGGGGAATGCAATGAAAATGAATAGTGCTTAACTTCTACAGGGTCAGAACCTTCTTAGATATTAACAAGGAGTCAGGCAGTAGTGCTAAACTCACAGCATGGACTCTGTGATGCTTGAATAAGAATGAGCCACCCCCCCCCCCATAGGCTTGTATGTTTGAATACTTGGTCCCCAGTTGGTGGAACTGATGGGGAAGGATTAGGAGGTGTGGCTTTTTTGGAGATGTGTCCCTGGGGATGGGCTTTGAGGTTTGAAAAGCCCATGCCATTCACACTTAGCTCTGTCTTATGCTTGTGGATCAAGATGTTAGCTCTCAGCTTCTGCTCCAGGATCGTGACCGACTGCCTGCTGCAATGTTCCCTACCATGATGGCCATGCACTCTAATCCCCTAGAATCATGAGCCCCAAATTAAATTACTTCTCTGTGAATCTCTGTGAGTTCAAGGCTACCTTGGTCAACACAGTGCTTTCTAGGCCAGCAAAGACTATGTAATGAGACTATGTCTAAGCAACAACAACAACAACAAAATCCTTCCTTACACTGATTTTTAAGGATGTTAGCTATTCACTACTCTAGCTGGTGGTGTGAACCTGGAAAGTGGGGTCTAAAAAATGAGGTGGACTAAAGTCTCATGCAATAGCCAACTTTATTCTGAGTGTTAGGAGGAGTCACCTAAGTGTACAATCACAAGGACAAGCTGCATGTGACAAAAACATGTTTCTCCACAGAAGCACATAAATAAATAACAATAATAACCAGCTGTAATGAATAATCTGATGCAAACTCACTCTGATTTGGTATACCTGGGAGGGTCATTAAATCACATTCCAAGGACACGTGTGTGTGTGTGTGTGTGTGTGTGTGTGTGTGTGTGTGTGTGTGTGTGTGTATGTGTATGTTTAAAAACCTAAGGTCACAAAACTTGTCTTGTTTTCTTGGAGTTTTCTCACAAGCACTCAGAATTCCTCTCCATTCTTGGACCATATTCTTTCTTTTCCTTTCTTTTCTTTTTGCTTCCCCTCCAGACAGGGTTTCTCTGTTGCTTTGGTGCCTGTCCTGGAACTAGCTAGCAGTTGTAAATCAGGCTGGTCTCAAAATCACAGAGATTCACCTGCCTCTGCCTCCCTCCCAAGTGCTGGCAATAACGGTGTGCACTACCACCACCTGGCTCGTGGACCACATTCTGACAGCAAAATATTGTTGGCTTCATAAAAGAGGCTTGTATTGTATGGAAGATTTTAGTACATGCATTAAAGTGGTTTGGAGATTTTTTTCATATAGATAAAGTCTCATATTAATATAAACTGATCTTGCATGCTATGAACCAAGGAAAACCTTGAATTCCTTATCCTCCAGTCTCTACATACTGAATGCTGGGATTAGAGCTGTGTACCACCATGCCCAACTCTAAACTGGCTTTACCATGTGGCAGTTTACCCTCTCATTTAACAAGGAGTTGGTGAGTTCAAGGCTCAGTGTTGTACTAAAAATCCTTTCTTTCTGTCCTTTGTGGTGCCATCCTCATCTTTGTCTTAAGGGTAATATTCTCATCTAACAACAGGTAGAGGTTAGCTACCTTTATTACCAAGAATGCTGTCCACACCTCTTGTGGCACTGACCCAAACTCACTAGGAGCTAGAAAGATGCTGGGAGAAAAAGTGTGTCCTCAGAAAGAAACCACTTGAAAATTTATTATAAAGTTGATGAAAATGAAAAACAAGTGTTAAGTCTGGCTTAACAATAACTAATTTAACAGTCAATACTTAAACTTTCTCTTGAGACATCAGCAATACAAGGCTGGCACTGTATCTCAGTAGTTGTGTGGTCTAGGGGGAAGAAAGGGAGAAGAAGAAACCAAAACATTAGTTCTACATACATACATCCTTCTACCAGGTACCTCTGTATAGTGTGTCATTTTTCCTGAAAGTAGATTACATTGATCATAATTCATTTAAACTGATTCCCATGTTAACAATGTTTTTTTTATTTTTAAGGACTAGTAGACAAAAATTTTGGTCACCTGAAAATTTCCATTTTGACTCAACAAAAAGTGGTCACATAGTTATACATTTCACTCTTCAGAGACGACCTCTAGACCTCAAGAAAGCTTCATCATTTTCTTCAAAAGTGTAAGCGGCTCACAAATTCTCTGAGTTTCAAAACTAAAGAGAAGTTGTCCACGTGGTCCTTCCAGCTCCCATAAGCCCTCTGAAACCTGTCATAATAACTTTCTTTGATCAAGTTGAAATCTGGTCTGTTTGTTTTTTAAAAATTGTTCTTTTTCCATCTTTCTCTCCAGGAATCTTTGACTTTTCCAAAATAACTTTCTTTTTCAGATTCTTCCTTCCATATTCCTTCTCCTTTCTTTACGGCTGTCAGTTCAGCTTTAAGTAAGCGTCTGTGGATTTTCCAGTGGGTTTTTGAGTCATAATGTAGCCCTTTAACAAGAACGGTTTTACCTAAGCCTCTTCTCAAAATTTCCTCATTCAGATTAATATTAAAATATCCACCCTGAGTAAAAAAGAAAGAAACTGATTATTTAATAAATTGTTTTACCTTATTTACCTTAAAATTCAACAATTTTTATCATTTTAGAGAACAGCAAACAAACAAAACCATATAATACAAAGGTCTTCAGATCAAGTTTGGTGGCACATGCTTGTAATCCTAGCATTTATGACAATGAGGCAGGAAGATTACTTACTCATGGCCAGACTGAACTACAAAATGAGACATTGTCTCAAACAAAACAGTAACAACCATAAAACAGGGGCTTGGAGATACCTGGCATCCATAAAAAAAACTGAGGCATGGCAGTTCAGATTCATAATCCCAGTGCTGGGGAGGCAGAGACAGGGGAATCCCTGGAGCTCACTGGCCAGCTAGCCTGGCTGAGAAAGTGATCTCTAGGTTCAGAAAGAGAAGATAAGGTGCATGATAACAGAGCAAGACACCTGACATGAACATCTGGCCTCCATACATGCACACACAAGTGTCAACACCTGTATACAAATATGAACCACACACAAAAAATAAGTATCAAAACACCAACAAAACAACAAAGGGGTTGAAGAGCCTAAAACAGCTATTGCTAAATGAAAGGATTTTATTTTTTGATATAATATACATGCAAGCCTTTTTCAAAGTCAGCTAATCCTCCTTGATCTCTAACCCAAAGAAGTATTGAAATGGTGAACTATAACACGTGCTATTTACTCTTTTAGCTGTGGAGAGGGAAAATAGAGCACAGGACTTGCACAATGAGAGCCCACAGCAAAACAAAGAGAACTATAAACTAGTAGGTAAAGAAGTTACGAGAGACAGCACAGCATCAAATTGTTAAGGTAAAAGTCACAGGGTTTTGGGGGCTCTGACAGGTAGTTTTTTGTTTTGTTTTTCTTTTTCTTTTTTAAAATGTGTATGGGTGTTTACCCTTATGTATGCATGTGCATCACTTTCATTCCTAGTACCTACAAAGGCCAGAATTGAGCACTGGATCCCCTGGAACTAGAGTTGCAGTTGTAAGCCACTGAGTACTGGTCCTCTGCACGAGTAGCCACTGCTCTTAACTGTTGAGCAATTTCTCCAAACCTAGGTATGTACATTTTAAAAACACCTACTCCACATAATCTTTGACTACCTTGAAACTTTCATTTCCGGAATATTCCACTTATAATGAAATCAATAAATGACCCTACCCATAGGAAATCATAGGAATAAAGCAGATACTGTTTTAATCTAACAAAACTAATTAAAACCAAGTATTGATGGCTTCATTCTGAAGTAAATCACAGGGCTGGAGAGATGGCTCCGCAGGTTAAGAATGCTTGCTGATCCTCCAGAGGACTGGAGTTTGGCTCCAAGCACCCACACAGGGCAATTCAGATCTGTCTGTAACTCCAGCTCCAGGAAGTCCAACACCCTCTTCTGTGAACACTACACATGTAGACACCCACAGATGTAGACACACACCCATAAACAAAATCTTAAGAAAGCAAAACAAAAACACAAGTGCTTGTTGTACCATCATTTAAATTGAAGTTTCATCCTAGCACCCATGTAACAAGCCAGGTGCTCTCCAACACAGAAGATTCGACGCCCTCTTCTGGCAGACTCACCCACATACATGTACAGTGCACACAAACTCACACACACACACACACACACACACACACTCACGCACATACACACACAGTCTCATGTGCACGTAATCTCAAGTAGACAAATGCATAAACACATTCACATGTATATGTTCACATACATGTTTTCAAAAAGTAAATCACAATGTAAAATTAATCTAAAAATGTCAAAATCCCAGGCTTAAATGAGGAAGTATTTTCTAAGAATCTATAAAGCAAAGTAATCTTTTTTTTAAAAAAAAAAAAAAAAGCCTTTGAAATAAAATAAAAAGGAAACCATTATTTCTCTGAGAACAATAAATTTTGGTTCATGAAAAGCTTATTATATTGGTCTCAGTTTAAAACATTTTATATGTTCATTTCTGTGAGCCAAATGGAAACAACTAAATTTCAATGTCACACATTAGTAGAATTCAAGCAGGAGAAATAATTGAATCTCACTATGTGCACAGCATAATTTGTTCATCTAGAAAACAAGGTAAGGACTGGGAATGAAGGTGGGCATTTGAACCAGTAAGAAGACTTTCTATGATTAGTTCAGTCAAGGCAATTATCATCCTTTAGAGCCCCACCAGTAAATGAGAACAGCAACCCCAGAGGATGGTTTTCAGTATGCTAGAGTAACAGGAGCACAGCATTTACTTCTACAGCTTCTGAATGTGAACACAGGATATTGGAGCAGACAGAGCAACATTTATCTTCTGAAAACATCCTTGTTCTTTGTAACTCCCAGTTGCTAAGCCTCATTCCCCAAATGATTTCTATTAACAGTGTGATACAATATACTCACACATATGTAAATGTATGGGGATAGTCCTTTACTTAGCAATGGCTAAAGTCATTAATAATTTCAAAGTTTTTACCTCTCTTTATAACTTTCTTTCTATATCTTCATTTCAACATTTATTTTTGTTTTATGTGTACAAATGTTTGCTTGCATGTATGTTTATGAGCCTCATGTGTGTCTGGCCAGAAGAGGACATTGGATCCTCAGAACTCCAATTACAGACCTTTGTAAGTTGCCATGTTGGTGCTAGGAACCAAACATTAGTCTTCTACAAGACCAGGTAGTAGTCTTTACCACTGAGCTGAACTCATGTCCTTTGCAAGAGCAATGTGAGTTCTTAGCCACTCAGTCATCTCTCCAGTCATCTCAATGCCTTAGTTTGTTATTTTTTAAATAATGTGCATATGTGTGATTCTACATGCATGAGTGCAGTGCCCTCAGAGGTTAGAGGAGGGCATTGGATCACCTGGAACTGGAGTTATAGGTGGTTGCCAACTGCCTAAAGAAAGACCTCTTAACTGTTTGAGCCACGTCTCCAGTCCCTTCAGAAATTTTATTTGACTGATATAAATATCCATAAATTTTACATGAAATTTATATAATGCCAGTCAGTGGTGGTACATGCCTTTAATCCCAGCCTTGGAAGGCAGAGGCAGGTGGATCTCTGTCAGTTCAAGGACAGCCTGGTCTATAGAGCAAGTTCCAGGGCACCCAGGGCTACACAGAGAAACCCTGACTTGAAAAGAATAAAGCACCTTATTCTTTACACAAAATCATGACTAGCAGCTTGAAGAGCTTATTATATATTCAAAATGCTAATTAAATAAGTGTTTACTTATGTTAAGAATAAAACATGGTCAGTTATTTCTTCATTTACCTTGTTCATTAAAAGGTAGCAAAAGAGTGCTGAATTCTCCTTTCCAAGAAGCTGGAACCAGAGCAGCTGGGAAGGTTTCAGCTCTTTTTGTAACCAGGCCTTACCGGTTTCAGTGAGTTCTACTCCAGCCAGCTTAACCAGCAAAACGCCACATGGCTCTTCTAAGAAAGAAATGTACAAAAGCAGTTTAGCTTCAAGGCAGACCACAAAGCAAAGTCCAAAGACATTTGCCTCCAAGCCCCTAACACACATTATTTATAATAAATACCCAAACTCTAAATTTAGGACCACTTAGTTTTGTTACGAGTAGTTTTCCCTGCCGGTCAGTCTGGTCCTTCCGCCATGCCTACCCCAAATAACATACAGAGATGCTGTATTAGATATAGTTCTATTGGCCTGTTACTAGTTTCTTATCAGCTAGCTCTGTCTTAAATATTAACCCATTTCTATTAATCTAAGTATTTCCACGTGGTCTCATCTTACCAGAGAGTGGGCCTGGACCTCTGTTCTCTCCAGTCTCTACATGCTGACTCCTCCTTACCACTTCCTAGAATCTTCTTGTCTCCTAGTCCTGTCTATTTTACTTTCCTATTGGCCAACAGTGCTTTATTCATTAACCAGTATGAGAAACATATTTACAGAATGACATCTCCCATCATCTCCTCTTCTTTGTCTAAATAAAAAGAAGGGTTTTAACCTTAACATAGCAACCTTACTCATAACATAGTTTCATTAAATTTTCTTTTAAAATAATACAAGTACAACCCAGATGTGATAGCCTTTTATCCCAACACTCAGGAAGCAGAGCCATGTGGATCTCAGTGAGTTCAGGACCAGCCAGGACGTTCTGTTTTAAAACCAAGAAAGAGAAAAATAAAAAATCTTAGGGTTATATTGCTGTGAAGAGACACCATAACCAAGGCAGCTCTCTCTCTCTCTCTCTCTCTCTCTCTCTCTCTCTCTCTCTCTCTCTCTCTCTGTGTGTGTGTGTGTGTGTGTGTGTGTGTGTGTGTGTCTCCTGAGACAAGATTTCTCTGTGAAACAGTCCTGGCTGCCCTGGATAGAACTATAGAACTCACTCTGTAGACCATGCTGGCTCTAAACTCACAGAGATCCACCTGCCTTTGCCTTCAGATTGCTGGGATTAAATAGGAGAGCCACTATCACCTGGCCTCCATGGAAACTCCAATAAAGGAAAACATTTAATTGGGGCTGTCTTACAGTGTCAGAGGTTTAGTTCATTACTGTCATGTCGGGAGCATGGTGGCTCACAGGCAGACACAGTGCTGGAGAGTTAGTTGAGAGTTCTACTGGGTCAGCAGGCAGCGGGAAGAGAACTGAGGCACACTGAGACCCCAAAGCCAGCATGCTAGTGACACACTTCTTCCAACCAAGCCACTCCTGTTTCAACAAGACCACACCTCCTAATAGTATCTAACCCTATAGACCTATGGGGACCATTTTTATTGAAACCACCACACAAACCTGTTTTTGCCTCCAGAGTGCCGACTTTAAAGACATGTGCTACCAGGTCCAGCTTGTAATTTGTTTTTAAATTTTACAGGTCACATTTAAGAGATGACTTAAGTCTTAGGAAAGACTTTAGACTTTGAATTCCCAAACAATGTTGGAACTATTAAAAAGCATGGCATCATGGAATAGTCACAAGCCAATGATGGAATGCTGTGGTTTGAATGGGAAATGTCTCCCATAGGCTCATGTGTTTGAAGACTTGGTGACAGCTGTGGAACCCTTTGAAGGGTGTGGAACTAGGAATGAGCCTTGAGGAATGCTTGTTTGTTTGAGACAGCGTCTCTTCTCTCTATGTAGTCCTGGCTGTCCTGGAACTCAATAAGTAGACCAGGCTGGCCTCAAACTCACAGAGATCCACCTGCTTCGGCTGCTGAGTGCTGGGATTAAAGGTGTGAGCTACCAAGACCACCTGGGTCTTAAGGTTTTAAAGCTGGGTCTCATTTTCCAATTTCTCTTTGCTATTTCATAGGTGATGCAGTGTGACCAGCTGTGTCATGCCTCCCCCATCATGATGAACTGTATCCCATTGGAACTATAAACCAAAACAAAACTTTCTCCTTTAAGCTTCTTTGCTAAGGTATTTTTTTCTCAAAAATATAGAGCAACCTAAAGCAACCAAGGAAGCAAGTAAAAGTGCTTGCCTTGAGTCTGACAACCTGAGTTCTATTTCCAGAATCACAGTGAAAAGAGAGAACCAGTCAGTGGTGGTATGCCTTTAATCCCAGCATTTGGGAGGCAGAGGGATGGAGATCTTTAAGAATTTGAGTCCATCCTGATCTGCAGAGCAAGTTCCAGGACAGGCTCCAAAGCTACACAGAGAAACCCTGCTCATAACATGTGTGCCACCCCAAAAAAGGGAGGAGGAGGAGAAAAAAAAAGAAAACAGAAAACCAACTCTTGAAAGTTGTCTTCTGACTTCTACATGTCTGCTGTGGTACATGATTGTTCACAGTCATATTCACACACATCACACACACACACACAACACATGCACACACAAAATTTAAAGAGCAATTTTAAAACGTTTAAAAAATAATTGTTTTATTTTATGTGCATTAGTGTTCTGCTTGCATGTATGTCTTGTGTGAGGTTGTCAGATCTTGGAGTTACAGACAGTTGTTAGCTTCCATGTGGGTGATGGGAATTTAGGGCCTCTGGAGATGCTGTCACTGTTCTTACCTTCTGAGTCATTCCAGCCCCTTAAAAACATTTTTAAACAAGATCTCTTTGTGTAGCTTTTGCCACTCTAGGCCACTCTGTGTACACTAGGCTGGCCTCACACCTAGAGATCCTCCTGCTTCTGCCTCCTGCGTGCTGAGATTAAAGGCATGTGCCACTCACTACACCTGGCAATGAGTTTGGTTTTGTTTTAACGTTCTAAAACTTGGTTATGCTGATAACAGTAAACATTTTCCTTCAGACTTGAGTTTCCTAAAACCTGTTCCTGAGTTTTAGGCAATGACAAAATGACACTGTCTTAGTGATAAGTGAGTGCCATCACTAAGGAGTCTGTTTCGTCACTAAGCTCTATATCATTTGTTTGTTTTGAAATTGCATCACCCTATGTAGCCCTGGCTGGCTCAAAACTTAATATGTAGATGAAGTTGGTCTCAAACTCACAGAGATCCACCTCACTCTGACTTCTGAATGCTGGAATTAAACACCTGTGTCATTGTACCCAGGATAAATATATATTTTTAAGGATTTTGGAAAGCATATGATAGACATACTGATATCTGTGAACAATCTTAATTGCTACAATAGTTCTAATAGCTATGTTATAATAGATATAATAGTTATATTATAAAATAATAGTATATAGCTGTGTTATAATAGTTGTAATAGCCCTATTATGACATGAGAGTCATGATAGCTGTGTTGTGACATAAAGTTACAATATCCATGTCATAACCTAATAGTCATAATAACCATGTTCTGACATAATAGTCATAATAGCTGGTATGACATAATAGGTGTGATAGCTGTGGCATGACATAACAGCATATACCTGTGTGCTTTCTGTACTTATTGGCTTTTTCCCCATGCCATGCTCAGCCTGCTTTCTTATAGAACCCACAATGGGCTGGGCCCGCCTCCATCAATCACTATGAAAATTCACTCCAGTCCAATCTTATAGAGGCATTTTCTCAGTTGAGGTTCCCTCCTTTCAGATAACTAGCTTGGGTCAAGATGACATGAAATTATCCAGAACATAGCCATGATAACATAACGATATCCATGTCATAGCATAATAATCATGACAGGTGGCATAGCTGTCATAGCTGTGTTATAACACAATAGGTGTGATAGCTATGTTAGTACATAATAAGTTACAATATCTGCATTATAAAATAAAGATCACAATAGCTGTGTTTCAACATAATAGTTCTAATACTTCAAGGAAATTCATGGCAACAGACAACATCTTAAGACAAAAGGAACACCTAGGAGTATATATATTTCTCAAAAATATTAATGTTTTAGCATCAGAAGTAAAAAAAAAAAAGATTTAGATAATGTCTTTGCAACTATTGCAAGTTCTGTGACTATTACAGACATATGCCTATTTCAGTGGTCACTATATGTAATAAGACTGTAGCCAAAGAACAGACATTCACTAAATCACTGCTGAAAATGTAAAGTGTTTTAAATATTTCACTTGATAATTTTGTTGTTGTTTTTGGGACAGGGTTTCTCTGTGTAGCTCTAGCCAGAGCTGGAATCAGTGCCCGAGGCTGGCCTTAAACTCTCAGAGATCCGCCTGCTTCTGCCTCCAGAGTGCTGGGATTAAAGGTGTGCACTACCATGTCGAGACATTTCATAATTTTTTGAATTTGCGCATGCACATGCATGGATATGCTTATACCTTCTCATCTATATATTTCAAAGATCATGAAGGGGTGTCATAGAAGTCATGAGGAAGGAGTCTTGGAAATTTATGCTCCTTTTTGATATTGATAAGTACCATGGACCAGAACTAGAAACAAAATGTAGTTCTCCATATTATTAAGTCCCACTACACAGGCATCCTCAACTATGACTGTGGTGATTTGAAGCAGAATAGTCCCCATAGTCTCATATGTTTGAATGCTTGGTTCCCAGTTAAGGGTACTGTTTGGGAGAGGCATTGTCAGAGTAAGTGTGGCCTTTGAGGAGGTATGTCACTGGGGATAGGCTTTGAGGTTTTAAAAGCCCATGCCAGGTCCAGCCTTGTCTCTCTCTCTGCCTACAACTTAAGAGTCAGATATGAACTCTCAACAACTGCTCTAGCACCATGCCTTCCTGCTGCCACATGGCACACCATGGTGATAATGGACTAATGCTCTGAAACTGTAAGCCAGCCCCAATTGAATACTTCCTTTCATAACTTGCCTTGATCATAGTGTCTCCTCACAGCAATAGAACAGTTATCTAACACAACTGTCATTTAGACCAAACTTTTTTGCATAAAGAATGCCCTCAATTTTTAGGATCTAGATATTAGTCCTTCAGATAGAAAAAACAAAGGTCTGGTTGTATTTTATCGACCAGATAGTAAAAGCAGTGAAAGAAACATGGGTGGCAGTCTTTTCTTGTTTTGAGAATGCTAGGAATGAAATCCAGGGCCTTGAACTCACTAAGCAGGTACTCGTTGACTATGCTATACCCCCAGCACCAGGCACACTGACTTAATAACTCCCTTCAGATAAAAAAAGATTATGTTCTAGTGTATCATTACATCCTTGAAAATTGGGAAGTGACTTTCTCTTTCCTAAGACATTTTTAAGTAGAAGTTTTTGTTTTGTTTTGTTCTTTACTTCTGAAAATATAAACTTTCTAGTTATGTTCTAGTGGCTTCACTGGATAGGGAGAGAGCTTATAAAACAAAACACACAAAAACCAAAAACAAACAAACAATAACAACAACAACTACGTCAATTCATTCTATCCAAACTGTATCAACTAGTCAGTTTCTATAGACAGTAAGCATCATGTTTTTGGGTAACTGTTCATGTCTATCAGGAGCTTATATGTTAGTAGAAAAGATAAAAATATGAATATATAATATGCACAGGAAGTGAAAAGGGAAATAAGCAGCTTATAGCCTTGGAAGATGGACAGCAAATTCTAGAAAGCAGGGCAGAACAACAATAAATACTACAACAGCAGTGCATTTAAACACCTATGGGGTTAATTATTCACAGGAGGGTTAAGAAAGTTTCCCAAAAAAGCAGCAATTGAGCTAGATTCCAAAGAATGAATTTAAGCTGTCTGAGGGAAGATCCAGAGGAGAAAGTGGGGGGGGGCACCTTTGCTATGAAGCAGAGATAACTAATAATAGTAGACAAACTATGTGACTCCTAATACTCCTCTACTCTCCGTTGGTCCTCTCAATGTTTCTTTCCTGTCTCAACTACAGGAGCCTTCATATAGACCATCATTCATACCTATGTTGTTCCTGGATAGCCCACTCAAATATTCAGATCTGAGTATATATATAACAACCCCTCAATGAGACCTTCTGTATATGTGTAGATTTCCTTAGCCCCACCAGACGTGAAAAGTTATCTATCCTAGGACTTTGTTCCTTGTCTTCATCAATATTAGAGCAAAATTTCCCATGCACTTTGTATCTCTTCCACCAAGACTATGAGCTACAAGTATTAGAAGGACCATGTTTGTTTCATTCAGTACAGTTACCTTAGGTCCTAAGCCATAACAGATTGTCATCATTTGTAGGTTTAGCAACAGAAGAGCTATGTGAAAGACTGAGTAGTCAACTAAAATAAAAAGGAGAAGGAAGAGAAGAACTCTAGAGCCAAACTTTATAATCTCTTGAAAATAAGGTCATGGTTCAGACTTTCATAGACTATGGAAAGTAATCAGAAATTAGTATATTTTTGCTATTTTATAAAGGGTATCTACTTTTTAAATACCACAATAATGACTACAATAGTTATCTAATTTTCCAATTCTTGCATCTTACTTACTTTTCCATGAAGATATAAAAGGTAAAGTAATAGGAATGTGTTCAATTTCTAGACCACTCTCAGTTATCCTGTGTAATCGGCCACGTAGTTTAATTTTCTTTCTTATAAACTCTACTGGAATATCTGAAGATGTTGTAAATTTTGATGTCTGTTGATTTACAAAGAAAAACGTTTAATTTTCACTTAAATGAAAACAAATTGTAACGATATCTAAGCACTTAGCAAGAAGACATAGTCATTGAAAGTATTAACTTTAACACTTCAATATTTAATAAAAATTTTCCCATTAACACTTTAATATTTAATTAAAAGTGTTTATATAGAGTCTGGAGAGATAGCTCAGCAGTTACAGGTACTTGATACCCTTGCTGTGGATATGGGTTCGGTTGCCAGCAGTCAGTTTCAGAGAACTGACACCCTCTTCTGGCATCTGGAACACATAAACATTTTCAAGTTATTTAATATATATTAAATATATATTAATATTTATCATATATTAATTAATATATATTATATTAATTATATTAAATAACTTGAAAATGTTTATGGAGAGTTAAAGCTTATTACCTATTCATTTCCTAACTGGCAAGGCTTTTAATTTTTTTTTTAATATAAATATCATTTAGGCAAACCTTTAAAAAGAAAAGAAGTGGGTAGGCCAACATTAGAAATTCACTTCTACTGCCAACATCTACTTATCTACTTGGTTCCCAGGGTTATCACCATGGCTAGCTCAGAACCTTACATAACACTGTACATCTTTCTAATACTAGGAAAGAATAATTGATGCTATGGCATATTTGCTCTGTAAGAGAAAGAACTTCATCTAAATGCTGGGGAAATTTCCCAGATATTATTTAACCAGGACTTAATTTTTAAATTTTCTATTCTGTGTGTGTGTGTGTGTATGTGTATGTGTGCATGTATGTATGTGTATGTGTGTATGTATATGACACTGTATACATGGATATCAGAGGAAAATTTTGTATGTTCTCTCTTTCCACCTTCACATGGTTTCTGGGGATCAAATTCAGATCTCCAAGGCTTGCACAAGAGCGTTTAACTACTGAGCCATCTCAAAGCCCCAGAACTTACTTTTAACTTGGATTCAGAAAGACCACTCTGGGTTGAGTTTGTTGTTGTTGTTGTTGTTTGTTTATTTATTTAGTATTTATTTACTTGAGACAGGATTTTTCTGTAACCCTGGCTGTCCTGGAACTCACTATGTAGACCAGGCCTGCCTCTGCCTCCAGAGTGCTGGGATTAAAGGTGTATGCCACCACTGCCCAGTACACTCTGGGCTTTTTGTTTGTGTTGGCATACATGAAGAATTTATGTAAGTTTGTTTTCAGGTATTAATCAAAGTGAGAGCCATAAGTGATAACCAGCATTATTGAGATTTTTGTCGCTCTATGCTACCTAAGAAACCATTCCAGATTAAACTGGAAAGTTGTAACCTTTCAAATTAAATAGATGACTCCATATTCTGACCATTTAGGTGCAATGATTAAAAAACAGCCTATTTTTTTTTTATCTAAATATAGTAGTTTATTTGCAAAGCATCCAAGAAACAGTTTTGCCTGAAACTGTTCTTTATCAGTTCCAACAACTCCCTACCCAAACAATGATACTAGACAACTCCTAGTTTGTTTCGTTTTGCTTTTGTTTTGAGACGAATTTCCCTCTCTAGCCAAGACAAGGCAGACCTGTAACTCACCAGCAGTCCAGGCTGGCTATGACCTTGTAGCAATCCTGCCTCAGCTTCCCAAGCTGCTAGGAAGACAGGTGTGAGTCATGAGACCCAACTAAATCCTACTTTGTTTACAGAAAATTAAGATCTGTGTACTGAAAAGTTATGGTCTGTGGAACAGCTGAAACAACTCATGGGGTCGTAATCATGTGACTAGAGGTAACAGCAATTTAGGACTTGCTGGCATAAATGCATAAATAAAATTTATAGTTATTAACTTGCTTGCTTTTCTTTACTACAATTCATTCTGTACATGTAGGCTCAGGTTTTAGCAGTTAGCTTACTGGTACAACACAAGTCAGGAAAAAAACTAAACTAATCAGAATGCTATCCAAATGTTAAGGTCTCTTATAAGCAATATATAATATATCCAAACAATAAACCAAAACACTTGAGATATTCCCCAGCATCTGAAATGCAAGTATAGTGACTATACTATTTTAACATACTAAATCCTTTATGACATTAATTTTTTTAACTCTAAAAATATGATTACACAAATAGTCTGTAGAATTAAACAACTATAAAATTCTACACAATTTTTGACTCTAAAATATATTCACTGCTCTAAATCTTAACCAAGATCTTAAAATATGTGTATTATCTAAAATACAATTTAAAGCCTTTCAGTAATGAATATAATTAAAGCAATTGTCTGGTGCCCCCGACATTTTGGACTCACCAGTCGAACACTTCTTATTAGTAACATTATTCCAGCTATGGCCATCCCAGTGCTGATGTTCTGCAGAAAGAGAATTAGTGATTAATTCATTAATTATCATTTACAACAGTGAATGCACTGACTTAAAAGAGCGAACCACCTGTCCTCATGATCACTAGCAGTTCAAGTAATGCAGATGCCTCAGCTGGTGACCCAGTTCCTACAAACACTTTGCTGTGCCCCCATTTGCAACGTCCTGTCTTTTTACTCCTACAGTATTCCCTCCTAGTTCTTCCTTAGCAATCTAGCATGCACAGGAATTTGAGTGTGAATGACTTTACCTTGGCTATGAATTCCTTGAATGCATCCCTGGCGTAACATCCATGGTAGATTATGTACTTGGTAGACAACCTTAAAATACAGCCCCATGTCAAGTATACTGGGTAAATGTGTATGTAAATGATTGAACAACAACATAGTTGATAATAATACACTTATTTATTTGGCACTTACTGATACAAAATGGCAGGTACTAGACTACTCTAAGGATGGGACTACAATGACATGTCAGCAGGCAGGCACGGCCTTAGACTTCATGCTGCGTAGCTGGAAAGCATTTGCAAAGCTCAACTTCCACAAATTCTCAGCAGAAGTTGTTGTTCCTTCCAAATTCATCCCCCTACTAGCTTCTAGTTGCCTGTCTTTCCCAATGCTCTGTCGGCCTTTGCTTCTGCCCCCTCCACTCCCGGAGAAATCCCCCAGGCCTCACTTCTACAGCTTCTTCTGTAGCTTTCTGCAGGTGTTCCAAGATGTCGGCAAGGCCAGGGCTTTACCCACTCTGCCACGTTTATGTAGCTCACTCTCAGCTGTATGTCCAGTTCCGATTTCCCTTGCACACTAAACTATGTCCAGTTGCCTCTACCTGCAACTATACTTTGAAGTCTAACGACTATCCAGTTTCCGCATCTGTATGTCCAAGAGCTCTACAGCTTTTCCTAGTAAGTTATTTACTGCGACTCCTCCATGTCAGGAGCCATCACCACCATCGACCCAGGGGCAGCTGCTTCTTTGTCCACATCACCACCAAGACCTTAATGGCAGTGCTTTCTCTGGTATTACATTGGTCGTCTAAGTATCTCTTCTTTAGTTGAATTTCTCTCGTTTTGCTTAAAAAACAAAACAGGACTGGGGACTATAGTTCAGTAGTAAACACCAGAATGCTTACATTAGTTCGAATCCCAGTCCTGGAAAAGAAGCTCTGTGAAGGCCTACTTGGCTTCCCTGCTCTTCCAGGGTCACCTGCCTGCGGTTCTGAACCGGGTGCTACCACTGGACCACTCGTGTGGTGTCCCCAGTCCCGTGCCAGCCTCGCAGGAAGAAAGCAGGCCTGGCCTCCGCCACCAGGGCGGTAAAGATGTGATGTCGCCTCCCTGGCCATTCCTGTGGCCGGCCTGACATTCTGTCCCCGCCGGTCCTCCTCTGGGCGGCCGCGAACACCGGCTCAGGCTAGCCCACCCCGCCGGGCCATGGACAAGGCACCTGGACAAGGCGCAGGTGGTTGTCCGCCCACTGCGACACACGCGTCACCACGTTGGCCTCTTCTCGGTCCGGGTCGGGTGCCGGCGACCCGAGGCTTGCCGGCGGCCGCGCCATGTTCCTTCGTCCAGCGAGCGTGGTGGTTCCCCTCCCCGCCGGCGGCAGAGGGCGCTGCGCGTCCCACGGTCCCCTCCCTTCCCCGCCCTTCCCCTCCAGGGCGCCCGCACCCGGTGTACATGAAGAGTGTGCTACAATGCTACCACGCCAGCCAGGGCAACACAACACTGACTCACAACAAACAACAAAGCTAGGGCAGAATATTAAGAACTAGGAAATCTGGATGAATATACACGACCATTTTATTCTTGCTGCTTTTTCTATATTATTATTATTATTTTGTTTTTGAGAGGGTTTTTCTCTGTAGCCCTGCCTGTCCTGGAACTAGCTCTGCAGACCAGGCAGGACTCGGAGATCTAGCTTCCATATTTTATGGGGCTGGAAAGCAAACCCCGGACCTTCTACTCTGAATGCTCTACTGCTTCCTTTGAAATGGTCTGTGTAGCAGAGGTTACTGGTGTGTTTCACGGTGCCTGGCTTCCTAAATATTTTAATGCCAAAATTAATAAAGGAAAGAGAGATGAAGATATACCTATTCGTTAAGCCGAAACTTGTGGCAATAAATTTAACTTTGGCCCAAAAATAGACCTGGCCTTTCCCTTTGCACCTGGTAATTTCTAAAATAGCTTATCTGATAAAATTACCCTGGAACTTTTGAGCCACTAAGAAATTCGTCTAACAGCCCCCTGAGGTGGAGGCTCTGAGTCTCGGTATCATCTTAACTTCCAGAAGGACAAGATCTGCTAGTGTGCAACAAGAACCCTGCACACAGGTGTGGGGGCACTTTCCTGGTTGCACTGCTCCGTGCTTTCTCACACATGGTCGCTGAGGAGTCAGTGTTGCTCATGACTTCATGGGTGGCCATTTTGTTTGCTTGTTTTTAGGCAAATTACCACACCTGAAAGTTTCCTGGCAACCCCCAAACTCTACAGTTGGTGTTAGAAGTATTGGAAATCTTATTACTGTTGTTTAACGCGGCATGGGTTCTCTATATTATCATCTCTACTTAAATGTTTAAAATGTTACAGTAGAATTTTCTTAAAGCCCTGGGGTGGATCCCTAGTGTTAGTATTCAGGCATCTGTACTGGCCTGCCCTTTGGGTCCTGACAGAATATGTATGCCCTTGGCTGCAGCCATTAAGAGAGCACCACCTGTGCCTATTCACTGCACTGCGTTCCCTTTTAAAAGGGCCCTGCCTACCTCCCATCCTCCTCTGTTTCTATCCCTCTCTGACTCTCTTGTTCCTGCCCATGGAGGCCAGTCTTTCCCCTTCCCTTCCCCCTTTATAATCCCTTTCCCTAAAAAAACAAACAAAAAAACCTCTGCTTGAACCCTGTCCCCTAGCATCCTTCTCTCTCCCACTGCTTTTCTAAAATTACAACACGTAGCACTACAAAAATATAAACTATAAAAATGAAAAAGTCTAATAAACTTACCTTACAAAAATCAAATATACAATGTGTGAGAATCAGCCTTTCCTGTTTTTATAAATGACATTGGCATATCAAACTCACTTGTGAAGTCTGTGTTACTTGCTTAGATGATGTGTATACACGGGTACATATGTCAAAGCACCAAAAAGAACTGACAAACAGTTCTAAGGAAGCTATTATCCTGTATCGTTGTGAATGGACAACAGTAAAATAGTCCTCTAGAGATTAGAAGTATCTACTTATGCCTTTTTATCTACAGGACCAAGTCATCATGGTTAAGTCCCTCTTGAGTTCCAAGGACTGCTTGGCAAGTTAGAAACAAAGTTGGTGAATCACATCTCAAAAGTACTGTACTAACCATTCTCATTAGCTTCGATTTCCAGGGGAATCCCTGTTCTCTATTCCTTCCTCAAGCTGTGCCTTTTTAGTCAAATCTTGCTTCCTCTCGCTCCTCCCTTCCTTTGTGTTAGGGATCTGTCCCAGGATCCCTACCACTCAAGCACAAATCCCCAATTCTTTACTTTCAATTCACTTACATCGAAACAAAATTTCACCTTTAAAACTACTTGTAAAAATTTTAAATCATCCTCTCTGTGCAGATATGTGCCTTACAGCAGGTGGAGATCAGGGATTCCACTAGAGCTAGAGTTACAGGCAGCCATGATAGAGGTATGGGAACTAATTTCCGGCTCTCTACAAATGCACTGTGTTCTTAACTACTTCAGCTCCCAATTTTGACCCTTTCTCCCCATTAACATTTTATGAAGTGTTCTCATACTTTCCCAGTTCAAAGGATGATGTCTCATCTAGTTAGAATTCATCCTTGCTAAATATTTGATTTAAAATTCATTCTTGAGGCTAGGGAGATAGCTCAGTTGGTAGAATAGATGCTTGCACAATCATTCCCAAAGTGCTGGATTCATCCTCCAGCACCATATAAATCAGGTATGGGTACCTGGAATCTTGGCACATGAGAGGTGGGAGTTCACTTTTAAGGGACCATTTTAACTGCAGGATAAGGTTATGAACCAAAGTATAATGGATTGGTACACGTGTCCAAGAATGAGAAATGCACTATGAAGCTTGTCATTGTTGAGGAGCTAATTTAGATGGTGTAAAGGGACTACGATGTGGGACAGGTGAGTGATAATCAGAAAGCAACATCAGCAGCTCAGTAGTTTCACAGTGGGGACCGTAGCTGGACTGACTCTACCAGCAGTCTGTCCTTACAAAAATTACTTACTTACCACCAGGCATGGTAATGCACACCTTCAGTACCAACATTCCAGAGGCAGAGGTAGGCAGATCTAGGTGTGCATTTGAGACCAGCCTGCTCTACGAAGCAAGTTCCAGAACAGCAAGGGCTACACAGATAAACCCCGTCTTGAAAAATTAGGGAAAAAAAAGTCACTTACCTTCTTGTTTGTGTGTGTGTGTGTGTGTGTGTGTGTGTGTGTGTGTGTAAGACAGGAATTACCAAACACCTACCTTTTAAAATCATGGCTCCTCTTGATTAATTTATATGAGGCTATTTGAATGTATCTTGAATCAAGTACTAAGTTTTGGTTGCCATGATTAATGCTTCAGGAACCTGAATGATGACCACAGTGACAGCCGTAGTGCTCCAAGGAAGAACCTCTCTTTGTTTTCTTCTATTTAATCTTTTGCAGTGCTGGGCCAAGGCAGTGATTGGAAGTTGTTAATTTTTATTTTTTTATGTGTACTGGTGTTCATTTGAGCATATGAATGTGCACGGAGTACATACAGTAGCCAAAAGAGAGCTGATGAGATTGAACTAGAGTCTTCTGGAACAGCAGTCAGTACTCTTAACTGCTGAGCCACCTTTCTCCAGCACCCACTGCTAATTTTACAGGAGAAACACCCATAGGTCATTTTCTTCAGTTTAAGTGCATGCACTTCTTCAACCTGGGAGTCTCACTGCAGGTGGTGGGCAGAATTATGATGGACAGGGTTTACTGGAATATGCAGCTTAGGTAGTGGAGAAGAATAATTTCTGCACTTAGGAGATACCATTTGTCCTAAGGAAAGAAGTTTTTATTTTCTGATTACATTTTACAAGAAATCTATATACTTGTAATGAAGAATATAGGCAAAAGACAGATATCTGAAAAAAAGGAAGACCCATCAGAGAGGGCTGTTGCTCAACTCAAGACTGAAAGGCAAGTACCAAACTCACTTTGATACTAACCATAAAGAATTAACAACTTTTAATTCCTGTTTTCATAAGTGACAATAATCAAGTTGGTCATTTTTAACAATAATAAATATTAAAATATACTATCTTTTTGTGGCTGGAGATTTGACTTCGTGGTTAACAGCACTTGCCAATCCTCTTATAAAGGACCTGGGTTCAAGTCCCAAAACCAATGTGGCAGCTCACACCTCTCTGTTACTCCAGTCCAAAAAGATCCAGTATCTCTTTTAGCTTCCCTGGGTACCAGGCATGCTGGTATTGTACAGTGGACGCAGAACACTAATATATATAAAACAATAATCTTAAAAGTAAAATATTAAAAAATATACATTTTTTATTCTTCTGTCTCTAAAAGTTTACCCTGCAAACTCTCCCTTTCTCCTATGCTTTCATTTCCCTGACTCATTCATTTTTTTTTTAAAGGTTTATTTATTTAATATATATACAGTGTTCTGCCTGCATGTGTCCCTGCAGGCCAGTAAGAGGGCAACACATCTCATTACAGATGGTTGTGAGTCACCATGTGGTTGCTAGGAATTGAACTCAGGACCTCTGTGAGAACTTAGTGTTCTTAACCACTAAGCCATCTCTCAAGTTCCTTACTCACTAAATTTAAGACAATGTTGAGTTTCAACTACTTAGAATAACATTTGTTTGGGAACAAGTCCCTAATGCCACTCATACTTGCTTCGTAGAGGTAACAAACTCCTTACAATTCATTTTCACAATTTCTGGACTCCATTTTTTTCTTTTTTTTTTTTTTTAAATTTATTTATTTTTTATTTCATGTGCATTCATGTTTTACCTGCATGTATGTCTGTGTGAAGGTGTCAGATCTGCTGAAACTGGAGTTACCCACAGTTGTGAGCTGCCATATAGGTGCTAGGAATTGAACCTGGGTCCCCTAGTAGAGCAGCCAGTGCTCTTAACCACTGAGCCATCTCTACAGATCTTCTTTTCCTTTTCTAATGCTTCCTGTGATTCTGTTTCTTCCTCCAGATTGTTGGTGCACTGGTCCACAAGGGAGGAGGGAGCAGAAGCAAGGGACATGGTTCTGATGGCTTTGAGTATGATGGAGACAACACAACACTCTGGCAGATGACTTCAGTGAATCAGCTCAACGTTATTCCAGAGTACAGGGAATATATAGG